TAAACGTAATAGGTAGAAAGGCACGTGAGTTGGCAGAAGCCTCGCACCAGAGCTGTGTGAGCAAGGGAGGTAACCCGGGGAGTCACCGACCCTATGACACCAAGGAACGTGAAGCTAAAGATGATACTAAAGAATTGTGAGCTCAGTCTGCAAGGCAGAGAGGGAGAAGGCCAACAGTAACACCAACTCTTCTCATGTAATCATAATGGAACCATCTTGCTTTCAAAGCTTCATTCAGATCCCCTTGCCAGACTTCCCCAGTCAAGACTGACCCATCTAGCCACTGAACCACAACAGGGCAAGTCACAAAGCTTATGGTTTGGGCAACATCAATTTCCAAGTGTCTAACATAGAATGGTTACTCTGCCCCTCTCTAACCCACAGATGAGAAGCCCTCCTTCCCCTCTGTCAGCCTGGGATGACTGTGGGGTCCAGATGACTGCAGTATGACAGAAGGACTCTCTAGTGCTTGGAGGCGCGTAGGTCTGAAGCATGTCAGCTCCTGGGGGAAGTGACTGGAACAACATGTAATTACATTTCTACACACTGACTGGCAAAACCCTTTGTTCCAGTCAAGTGACGCACCAAGAGCCTCCCGGACGAGCTGCTAGGTGATAGCTCAAAATATGTTGGTTATGTCCTCCTTTCAAGAGGCTGCTTCCATTCTTCTCCCTCTCCTGTGGCCTTGGCACAAAATAAGCATGGGCATAAAACATACACTCAGGGAAAGCTGACTTCCCGGCAGTCTGTCTAGAAAGGGCTTGTTACTGATTAGTTAATTAGAAATTCTGGGAAATACATAATCATTCACCCACACAATCACAGAACTGATCGGTATTATCACCCATCCCCTTCCCCTACTTGCTCCTCTCAGAGAACAGCAGAGGGCGCCTCTTTCCAGCAAACACTCAATTTGGGCGAAGAGGCCAAGGACTTGCCAGGAGAAAGCGAATGAGATCGGTTCTAGCAAGGACTGATCAAAGGATTCTTAAGGTTTTTGCTGTGTAGGCCCAGAAAGCAGTGCTGCATCAGAGCTATGGAAGATCTCCTTGGTTTAGCGGAAGAGGCACAGCAACTCAATGTGCCTCCCGTTCAATCACATTCGACTACGTCCAAATGAATTTCCTCAAGAGGATTCAGCTGTATTTCTGGGTTGGCCGCTGCTTGCCTAATTTCTTCAGCCTGGCCCAGCTGAAAGAACAACTGACTCTCAGCCTCTCAGGGATCATCTAGTTCAAATGACACCCCACCACAACATTCCCAGTCAAGAGAATCTATCCTTCTGCTTGAAGACCTAAATAAAGAGAGGAAATAGATCTGGTGTTTGGGGAAAAGCTGTCAGAGGAACCCCACCCCTGCCCAAAGCAGAGAAGTTAATGACTTCTTGGCTTCCTGAAATGACCACTTCATCCTTCAAAAGGGTCAACTCAACAAAGGTATTCCTACCTCAATTCTCCCCAATAAGGAAGCAGATGGCTGCTGAAATAAAAGTGCTAAGAACCTTGAGGGGAAGTGACCACTCTACCTCGGAGTTTGTGAGTGGGCAAGAGAGGAAGGCCAGGCGTAATTAGGCAGCAGACAGAGGAAAAGACTGTAGGTAAATGAGGGAGTAGGGATGATAAAAGGGACAATCTGCTAGAAAAGATGGAAAGGCATGGGGTCACAAGTGCATGTCGAGGAGTTTCCCCTGGCAAAGGAAGAAGGCTGCTGCTTCATGTGAGATGGGTGAAGGAGGAGAGTGGGGAAAGGCATCGGAGGAGAAGAGGGAGTTCTTAGTGAAATAGGAGGCAAGGGTCTCAGCTGGGAGATTGGGAGAGGGAGCCATGGGAGGTTTAAAGAGGGATGGAAAGGTTTGGAAAAGCCACTGTGGAGAGTGGAATAATGAAATAATGAATTAATTGGGAAGGGGTGAAAAGATTGCCTTGCTGCAGTGAAGCATAAATTTGTAGTAGACCCAGTCAGCATGGCTTCATAAGTTACACCAGCTCTATTCGGTAGCAGAGGAGTGAAGGCAATCGATAGTGGAAGCAATCCAAGGTTAGGGCTTGCAAGGCAAATTAGTTAAAGGAGTGAGGAAGGAATGTGAGGGTAGAGTTTAACTGGTTTACTAAGGGGAGCATAGACAGTGTAGGGTAATGACCCAGGAAAAAATGGACGGAAAGAGCGATTGGAAGTCATGATGAGAACAAAGGACAGAGTTAAGGGTTGAAAAGTAGTGGGAAAGATGGAGCAATGAAAGATTATGATCAGTTAAAAGAATTTTGGAGCTCATGAATATGGAAGCAGCTACGTGTGGGTGATGGCAAAATCAAGGAGCTGATCATCTCTGGTCTCTCCTCTCCCCCAGCAGTATTAGAGAAAAAGGAGGATCACAGAAGAGACAGAAGAAATTCTTACTTTGCTTTGCATTCTTAGCCAAGGCCAATGCTCTCTGAAGTGGAGAGGAAAGAAGAAAAATGGCCAATAGGAAGCTGAAACCTAAGACCAAAAGGGACACAGTCAGACAGCACCTAGTTGCCATTGCTGAGTTCAAGCCTCCAGGCCCAGGCACACTACACAGCCAAGTCAAGGAAAGAGTTCATAGACGTGAAGTTTGCAAGATCTTGAAGAACAAGAGAGGTGTTGCCAGAAAGGAGAAGGGGAAATGTTTTGATTTCAAAAATGGGAAGTTGAGTCTTCAGACTATAGGCCACTGAGTCTGACTTCAGTTCCTGGCAAAATTTTAGAATTTATTATTCAAGGGATGATTAGTGAGTTCCTAGAAAAGGAAACAGCAAGACTTTATCAAGAATGGGTCATGCCACATTAACCTCATTTCCTTTCCTGACAAGGTTATCAGACTTCTAAAAGCTTGGTCAAGTTTGATTCATTAAAGTATTTTACAAGTCTCTCATGGTATTCTTGTAGACAAGGTAGAGAGGTATGGCCTAGACAGTACTACAGTTATATGGATTTGGAGTTGGTTAAAAGGCTCGACACAGGAAGTAATAATCAGTGGTTTAAATGTCAACTTGGAAGGTCTCTAGTGCAGTGCCTCAGACATCTCCGCTTTGGCCTTGGGTAAGCCAATGATTTTGGAGAGAGGCACAGATGGCATATTTATCAAATCTGTAGATGACACAAAGCTAGGCTGGATAGCTAACATACTGGAGAACAGTGTGGCAGTAACTGGATAAGTTAGAAAGTTGAGTTGAATCCAATACAATGAAATTGAGTACACATTGAGTAAAAAAAAAAATTTCATAAGTACAAGATGAGGGAGTCATGGCTAGAAAAGCAGTGTATCTGAAAAAAGACCCATGGGCTTTGGTGAACTGCAAGGTCAATATGAGCCAATGCTGCAATATGCAGCTCTATCCTCTCAGAGGACCCTCAGAAATGAAGGACTATGGATGCCAAAGGTGGCATACTTGGGCAAGATGTTGGTTGTTGGCTGGTTCTGAGTGATTTTGTTATAAGAAAGGATTTAATGAGAGTGGGGGAAGGAGGAGAGAGATGTGTGAAAAACAAAAGGTATCGATGAAACTGAAAAACAAATTCTAACAATATGTGATATGGCGGCCAAAACTGTCAATGCCATTTGAAGCTATGCTAAGAGATTGAGAGTCCCCTGTGCCCTGCCCTAGTCAGGCCACATGTCACATCACATGTTCAGTTCTAGCTGTCACATTTTAGGAAAGACACTGATATGCTGGAAAGGGTCTAGAGGAAAGTGATTAGGATGGTGACAGGATCTGAGATCACGCCATATGAATATCAGTTGAAAGGATGGGGTATATTTAGCCTAGACAAGACTTTGGAAGGCTATGATAGCTGTCTTCAGCCATATGAAAAGCTGTCATGTGGAAGAAAGATTTAGATTTGTTCTACTTGGTCTGAACAATGGGAGGAAGTTTCAGAGAGGCAAATTAAAGCTTGATGTCAGGAAAAACTTTCCAACTATCAGAGTCCAAAGGTGGAAGGGGCCACCCAGGGAGAGTACTGATTCCCTCCCAACAGAGATCTTTAAGAAAAGATTTCTGCAGTAGATTGTAGAGGGAATTCTTTTTCAGGTCAAGTTGACCTCTGAGGTCCCTTCTAATTGTGAGATTCTGTGAGCTCATTATTTCTGCAAGTGTCACCCATTCCATTTTAGAATAGCTTTAATTGTTAAAAAATTTTCTCTTTGGAGACCCCCAAATCTGTCTCCCTCCAACTTCCATCCACAGCTCCTGATTCTGAACTGATTCTGACCTGATCCCTGAAGGCAACAACTGTATCATCCTGTCCCCCATGTATTCTCTTCCCCAGGCCAAGCACTCCTAATTTCTTCACTAATCATAATATAGCATGAACTTAAAACCATGGTTGCCTTCTCTGAATGTCCTTAGCTTGCCGACTCTTTCCACAAGTGTGAAACCCAGAAATGAAAACAATGTTCCTGGTATGAACAGGACAGCAGACAGGGTCTATCTATCACTGATCTTCTTCTGAAAATTGGCTGCATACACATTTTGTGCCCCTCACCTTGATAGGCTAGTAGTGACAGAAGAAATAAAAGGCACAATTCTGATTTCTCCTGCCAAACCCACTCTGCTCTTAACCTGCTGTTCTTCTGAGAAAGAGAAAACAACCAAAGAACACTTAACTGTCAAGGAAAAACACCCAAACTGAATAACCTAAGACTGTCCTGGGGTAGATTTCCTTAATCCCAGAATTCACCACTAACAGACCCCAAATTAATATAGTTTATCCCCTACATATGACCTGGGAAACTAAGGGTGAGATTATCACCTACTATACACATCAGATATATGTTATCTGTAAAGTTAACTGTAAAGCTATAAAATAAAACTCCAAACTCTCCCTCTGACACAGATTTTATCTTATATTCCCAGAGAACCCCCAAATGGCTATGTGCACAGCTCTGCGATGCTATCTGAGAAAGCGAGGCTAGGCCACTGCCCACAAGAAACAGATCCAGCCAACAGACCCCAACTGTGCCCAGCCCATTTACTTACCACTCGGCTTTAAGTACTTCTTGGCATGGAGGTAGCTCTCCAACATACGTTCATTGAAAAGCATGTAGCCCATTGGCTCTGAAATAATTATGTCCACCTGCTCGGGAAGTGAGATTTCCTCCACCTTCCCAGGAATCACCACAATTCGGTCTGTGAGGTTGTTACTCTTTACTAAAACCTATTGGTGGGAGGGGAAAAAGTCAGGGATAAAAATCAGGGAAAAACCAATCTTACGGAAAAATATCTCCTTGGACCAATAAACTTCATTAAAATCTCATTGCCGATTTTGTCTTTAGGAGAACCCTATGGAGACTTCAGCCCAGCAGCCTGCTCAGAACCATCCTTCTGGGACAATCAAGGCCAAAGTGGGAGAGAAGATAGAGGGAGCTCAAAGCTTTTAAAGACTAGCACAAGCTATGAAAAAATAGTGATGGAGGCTCCTGGTTTAATTCCTCGTTGGATTTTGTGAACTTTTCCCATCAAAAAAATTTTTTGTGCTGTATATTTTTTCACATTTTAAAAAATTACAGTGACTCTAAACTAATTGACAAAATGCTGAGACACTGGACACCACTTTCTAATGATCAAACTAAGAAGGACAAGGACTCTATGATACATGCAAGTAGAATCACTGATGAATTATTGATCTAAGACTCAGTGGAATCAGAGCATTTGCAGTTGAAAGGTACCTTAGAGTTTAGCTAGCCTAACATCTTCATATTACAGATGAAGAAACTGAAAACCAGATAAGGTAAGTGACTTGTGTGAAGTCAGGTGGGTACAATACATAACAGAGCCAGACTGAATGAACCCTCTTCTTCTGTCTCCAAATCCTTTGTTCTAGTCATTATATTATAGCTTCCTCTTTTCCCTCAGAGATGGACAGCATAGTTCACTAATGATTCCAGAACACTTAAGAGGCAGAGTAATTTGCCTACTGATTTTAACAGTAGACAAACTGAGGCAGCAAGAACTGAATTTCCCAAGATCACAGAGGAAGCCAGGATTTGGCTTTGGCCTTCCTAACACCACCTGGGAACAAGGCAATTCTTTGTGCTCCCCAAAAAGCCCCATACACCCTCTGGACCTCAGCCTTAACTCTGAAGGTGTGCCTGGCCATGGGGCCCACTGACCTCAGCATGCTGAGCCATGGTGCTTGCTTCCACTGCGTAGACTTTCCTTGCTCCTGCCTGAGCAGCAAAAAAAGATAGGATCCCAGAGCCACAGCCCACATCTAGGACAATCTGGGAAAGGAGAAAGAGTCACTGTCAGTCACAGACAACAATGGAAAGAACAGCCAGAAGATCCTAGCCTGTTCCACTCACAAACGTGAGAACCTGCTTCCTCATCCTTAGCCCTGGTATCTGTCACAGATTAATGGCTTTAACAGTAGAAGACGAGAGGGCTCAAGTGTGAGATTTTATATTAGCAAACTAATGATGTACTTCTGACTCTTAAGGCCAAGCCAATAAGGTGGTGCGAAGAAACTCTCAACACATCTGAAATGATTAGGTTCTCAAAAAAATTAAGTCTGACCTTGGGCTGGATCAACCAAATCTCTCCCTGTTTCTAGGTAAGCAGACTGAGCAGGTTACTACTACATAGGTGACTGCAATACAGAGACCATGGGTGCCCATTCCACAAGATTTCCCACGAAGTCTTTGAGTCTTCAGGGCAAAACCTCTTCTCCTAACATTGTTTATCTTTTATCCTCAAATGTCCTGGTGCTTGACCAACACTCTCTGCGGATAAGTTATGTTTCTCTTCCTCAGAAGGAGCTGCATCATAGTAGTGAGACAACTGTTTGGGTAGGACGAGAAAGGACACTTGTTTGCAACGTACACTACCATACAGTTCTGGCCATGGGATTAACATGGAAAACTGAGAGGGTATACAGCCTCTTAGTGAGCAGTGGCTTCCATCTCTTTTACACATCATACCATTCATTAGTGTTTTCCAGTTACAGGCCTGATGCTACAGGATGGGTCTACTACTGGGTTGCCATGTTATATATAGGCTATGAAAATCTTGGATCTAGTTTCCACACTGTTTTCTATTCTTTTTGTTATGTTATTTTTTTCCAATTACATGTAAGGACATTTTAAAAACATTTTTGAGTTCAAAATTTTCTTCCTCCATTCCTTACCCCCTCCCTACAATGGTAAGCAATTTCATATAGGTTACATATGTGCAATCATGTAAAACATATTTCCATATTAGTCATGTTGTGAGAGGAGAAACAGACCAAAAGAAAAAAACCATGAAAAAAATTAAAAAGTGAAAATGGTATGGTTCGATCTACATTCAGACTACATCTGTTCTTTCTCTGAACATGGATAACATTTTCCATCCTGAGTCCTCTGAAATTATCTTGGATCATTGTATTACTGAAAAGAGCTAAGTTATTCATAGTTTATCACTGCATAATGTTGCTTTTACTGTGTACAATGTTCTCCTGGTTCTGCTCACTTCACTTTGCATCAGTTCATAAGTTTTCTCAGATTTTTCTGAAATCTGCCTGCTTATCATTTCTTATAGAACAACAGTGTTCCATTACATTCATATGTCATAATTTGGTCAGCCATTCTCCAATTGATGGACCCTCAATTTCCAATTCTTGGCCACCACAAAAAGAGCTTATAAATATTTTTGTACATGTAGGTCCTTTTCTCTTTTTTATTATCTCCTTGGGATACACACCTAGTGGTGGTATTGCTGGGTCAACAGTTTGACTGGCCTTTGGGTATAGTTTTAAATTGCTCTCCAGAATGGTTGGACCAGTTCACAAGTCCATCAACAGTGTTTTAGTGTCCCAATTTTCCCATATCCTCTCCAACATTTATCAGTTTCCTTTTCTGTCATATTAGCCAATCTGACAGGTATGAGGTGGTACCTCAGAGATGTTTTAATTTGTATTTTTCTAACCAATAGTGATTTAGAGCATTTTTCAAAAGGCTACAGACAGCTTTGATTTCTTCATCTGAAAACTGCCTGTTCATATCCTTTGACCATTTATCAATTGAGGAATGACTTAAATTCTTATAAATTTGACTCAGTTCTCTATGTGTTTGATAAATGAGGCCTTTATCAGAGACACTTGCTGTAAAAATTGTTTCCCAGCTTTCTGTTTTCCTTCTAATGTTGGCTGTATTGGTTTTGTTTCCACACTGTTTTCTATGACAGGGCTGATGTGATGTCATATGAAAACCTATGATATCATTAATCTTAATTCTCTCCATCAGGATAAAAGGCACTTAATAAATAGTTGAAGTTTCTCCCAAAGAGCTCATCCCAAGTGTCAAATTTTCTAAAGTGCTACTATACAGAAATTTCATTTTGCAGATGCTGTCTCAAAATCTTAACAAGGGGATCAGGGATCTTCAGGCTGCCCTGTCAAATGCATATCTTCTAGAACAAGGGAGGTTCCAGCCTAACCGTATTCCGTCCTGGTCAGACATCTGGATAATTGTGTTCATTTGTAGGTGCCACGTTTTAGGGAAGAATATCGACAAACTGGAGCACATCCAAAGAAGGGCAAGTCGGAAGGTGATGTATTTTGGAAACTATTTAGCTGAGAGAGAAAAGAATGGAGTAGGAAGGGTGGGGAGGGAGGCTAGAAAATAATCTTCATGTATTCTAAGGATTATCCTGGAGAAGAGATACTGCACTTGTTCTGCTTAGCAGGAGTAGTGACAAAAAGCAGCACAATCAGATTCCGGCTGTCTGTAAGGAAAAAACAGCCAATGGATGGTTTCAAGCAGAAGCTAACTGATCACATGGTAGGCATTTTGTAAGGAAGATTTCTGTTCAGGTATGGGCTGCACTAAGGTGATCTCTAAGGTGGTTTCCGAGGCTGAGACTGTGGGGTTTCATGTTTTGGGTTTTTTTTGGTCTTACTGGATTTTCAGCAAGAAGCTAATACAATAGGTTCTGGAGAAAACCACATACAATTATATCCCACAAAAAGAAAGGCTCCTACAGAAAAGGTTAACGTGCCTTAGCAGTTTCTCTTCTCTGTCAGCTTCAGGGAGGTGGCAGTATCTGGTCCCTGGAAGCTTCAGGGGTTACATGGAAAGAAGTCCTAAACAAAGAGCTGAGGTCCCCTGTACCTATCCCTCCAGGGTCCTGACTAATACCCACATCTGAAAATAGTCACAAAACCCAGAAACAGACCTGTAGTCTCTGAGAACAGGGAAAGGAGGAAGATAAAAAGAGAAGGAGGAAGGGAAAGAAAAAGGGAAAGTGAAAGGCAAGAAGGTCAAAGCCTCCAAGGTTGTGATCTACTGAAACAGATAAAAATGAGAAAATAGTAATGTCCTGACACTTGACCCGTTGCCAGAGGGTCACAGACAGAACACCAGCCCAAGGCTGGCAGATGCCCCTTAGGCAGGATTTTCTTTGGAGTCCTTTATGACCTGATACACATTCAGAGATACCTTTTCAGGACATGGGGTAAAGATCTGAATTTGCTTTTTTCCCTCCAGGAGAAAAGCCAATCCTTAGGTTTAGAACTTAGAAGGACTGCCTAGCTTATGCCTTGTATGTAGTAGAGACTAATGTATTAATGATAAGCCTGTGACACCAACCAAGAACACAGGAGCATTCCTAAAGCAAACTGGCTGGATCCCATTGTCCAGATTCCTTACACATACTTGAAAAGTACTCGTCTAAGGGAAGGTGATGAATCTTGCAGCTGCTGGGAAGCAATGTGGTTTTTCATGAACAACAATTAAGTACATCCCATTAGTTGCTCCACTGGACATATCAAACATAAGTAAAAAATCAAATCAGTAGCACTCCTCAAAATTAGCTTAGCCACAGAGAACCAGGGCTCTCACCAGTGAAAATCCTTGTCAGAAAACACACGGCAAAGTCAAGGTTCAGCATTAGTAGAAAAGTAAAAGGGAGCTTCAGTGGTGGGCACAGGGAGTGTAAAGAGCCTGACACAGTGGGCAGAAAAGGGTGGGAGGGTTTTGGATGGAGGACAGTTCAAACACGAGTTGTTTGCTTTAGCTACCTCTCCTAGGCCAGACACACAGTGTCAACACAAACACCACAAGGAGCAGAGCTCAGGGAGGCTTCTGTGGAGCTCATGCTGGTCTCAAGAAGATATTTAAAAACAAATCGGCACTGATGGTTTGGGGCGGGTGTGAAGGAGAGATGAGCTCTCCACAGCTGAAATGCAGAGAGGGAAAGATGGAGAGAGCTTCCTGACATAACTGTCTCACTCTTAATTCCTGCCTGAGTATTCTCCCCACTCTGTCCTTCCCCTCTGGCCTCAGTGTCCCCTGACGGTCCCTTCTAATACAGAAGCTCAATTGGGCCTGACTGGCCCCGAATACCAGGTATCAGGTTGAACACAAAAGATGATTTCAGGTCTTGTTCCAGAGCTGAATTCAGGGTGTTCCCAAGAGGAAGTTCTCACCTTGTCCTTGAAATCACTGTGGTTCTGCAGGATTGCCCTCTGGTATGTGCCTGTCCGTACATAATCTTGCATCATGTTCTGCTGCTGTGACAGGTAGCCATAGAACTACAACACACAAAACAGAGCATTGTGAACAGAAGAACCTCCACATGGCCAGCCTCAACACTGAAAACCAACCCAACCCGCCACAACCTTCCCCATTCAGACCCCCTGCTTCCTCCCCAACAAACCATGGAAGGAGCTCAGCAATGGGAACATGCCCAGGGTTGAGGGAGCATGGGCATCACTTCTCAGAAAGTCATGCTGGGGGCCAAGGCTGAACCATCCCTGTTAACAAACAAGGTGGTCAGACTGCTCTATTCACTGCTCTCTGCAGCTAAATCTAACTGGATTTCATCAGTGTCAGGATGGGGAGCCTCTAACATATCCCAGGCCACAAGGGAAAAGGAGGGAAAAAGCAATATACCTCTTAAGTCAGGAGGCTGGCAAGTATACTGGAGGAATACAACTACAGATCCTGGCGTTAGAAAGCACCCCCTTTCCTAAACTACCCAAGCCCTGGTTTCTATTTGGAGCCAATAAACTTTCTAAAAGAAAACAGATCTATCATAATATGAGTTCTGTCCTCAGAGAACCTGAGAAGCCCAAAAGAAACCTGGGTAATTATACAGGATTATGACTACGAACTAGAGAGCCCAGAACTTGAGACTAAATATCTTCCTGCAAAACTGATTAGTAAACAGACATGACAGTTTACAGTTCTAGAGCTCTTGGGACTAAGCATACCAGCTCCTGAAAGTTTTGCTACTAAATGTAAAACCATCATAATTCACAGGGAGGGCTTTGTGATGGAAGAAAACCAAGTGCTCAGGAGCACCAAATGCTCATCAAGGACTCCTGCAGGGGGCGGGGTGGGGAAAGATGACACAGAGACAGCCAAGGCCTAAATGACTATCCTCTATGGTGGTCCAGTTTCAACTGAGCAGAACTTTTTCCACCTTCCTAAGAAGCATCTACACCTGGGCCCTCCCTTTGGAGACCCCCAGGAAGATCCTGCCAGGTGGAAAACACACCTGGAAGTACTGCACAGCGGAGGATTCTTCTGTCCGCTCACTGAAGACGGAGCGCTCTAAGTTGTGACCTCGACAGGTTTTCAGAATATTATAGAATGAACAGAAATCTGAAAGAAGCAAAAACTTAATGTAGAAAAGAGGTCACATGTGGGAAACGGTAATGCAAACCAGAAGAAAGTGGCAATGGCATGTTAAAGGACCAATACATGGACAGGTTACTGGCAATGGAAAGGGAAAAAAAACCCTTCCAGTAGACCGCTGGTCATGAACAAAAATATATATCCATTAGATTCTGGAAAATTCTTGGCCACAGAATAAAAATTTTCACATCCACAAATATGATTTGAAAGGCAAAATCGTTGTAATTCCAGATACATGAGAACTTAGATACACTTAAGCATTCATTCTACTCTTTTTTCTTAGAAAGAAGAAAAATGGGAGATATTTAGCAGAGTATCTAACAGAAATCAGACGGAGAAAAACGAATGGTTCTCTCTGGGAATGGAAGTCTACTGGGATCCATTCTGTACAAGTCCAGAAGTCATTGGCCTTCAAGGTAAGACACTAGAAACAAAGAAGGGGAAAGAAGGACCCAGAATAGGGAGATACGAGGAAGAGGGCCTCATCTCTCCACATTCAATAAAGCCTTGAAGCAAAGGTTTGAAAAGGAACTGCTCCTGCTTGGCTCAGACCCTTCCTGGGCTGGGCAGCGAGGGACCTACCATTTGGCGTTGCAAACTGTATGAGGACGCTGTTACACCCCAGGGTGATGATGAAGGATTGCTTTCCCACTCGGCTGCATTCTGTTTCTCTGGACACAGAGCACTTAAACACACAAACATCTTCATCTGGAAAGAAAGAGAAGACACCAGCTTAGCTCCTTGCTCGAGGCTGGCAGCCTGAGGATTCCTGCCTTCCTATGCCTGCCCTCAGCAGCCCCTCCGCCCTCTCCATGCTAAATCCTGCCCATTGTGGAAGGCCTATCTCAAGCTGCAGCTGCTTACAAATGCACACCCTGACCACCGATAGCATTTGCTACCCATTATAGCCTCTATTTTCTGTTTCTGGGGATCTGTGTTATGTGTGTTGTCATATTTCTCACCTATGCTGTAATGGACCTACCCAATGGTAAATCCCTGGTATTTCTTTGGTATCATCCACAGTGACTCCTTCACCCTTTGGACCAAGCAGAGTAGATGCTCAACTGATCATCAGATTGCTGCACTTTATTTTCATTGTGCCAAGTGAAGTGTCCAGAGCAATCATACTGGAAATGAAGATCTTACACTTTGTTCACAGTGAAGCCTGAAGTAAATCCATTCTCCCTTTGTGCTTTAATATCCTCACCTGAATAATGAGAATGGTGGGAGAGCTGCTTGTCCTTTACAGGATAACTCTAAAGCTAAACTGATGACTGTGGGCAAAGTGTATCCATGGGTTTATGAATCATTAGGAAGCTGGTGTGCAGCTAGTCACAGATATTCAGTGTAGCACATGGAAGGCCAGCCTTGAACCCAGGGCTTCCTTCTTCCAAGGCCTGCCTCTGCCACATATTGGCTGTGTGACCCTGGGCAAGTCTCTTAACCTCACTGTGCCCCTCAGAAGTTCTGGAAGACAAGTTACAAACGGGCCGCCAATCTGCATCTCTGGGAGGAGTTCTTCACACCTCATATAAGGTAAATCGTAGATCTGGACCCAAATGACAAGATTTTCATCATCACTATTACTGAGCCCCCAAGTCTTTTCAGCTAGTGGGACCCTGCTCCTAGCTTTGAAAAGTAGCTGATGACTCTGAGGAGTCAATATTCTTTCTCACACACCTGATCCCAAATCAGCAAAGCCAATATGACAGGCGTCTTCCAAGGGATAGGACCAGAAAACTACTCTGTGGAGTGGTGGAGCCCCTAAAGGGGGAAGTTCAAAGCAGATAATGTTATCAAAAGCCAGTCTTAGGTGAGAGGAGGCAACTCTATCACCCAACTGGGGATGGAAGGCTGTGGAGGGAGCACACAGCATAGTTTATACCAGTCAGAGCAAGAGAATAATCATACCAGCTAACATTTACATAGTGATTTAAGGTTTGCAAGCACTTTCCAAATATCTCAACTGACCCTTGTAACCGCCCTGGGAGCGAGATGCTATTACTACCCTCATTTTGCAGATGAGGAAACGAAGGCAGACAGAGGTTAAATGACTTGCCCAAGGTCACAAAGCTAGTAAGTGAGGCTGGATTTGAACTCAGGTCTGCCTGACTCCAGGTTCAGAGCTCTGTTTACTAGATGCCTTCCAAGTCCTTTGGTAAACTAGCCTGAGTCATGTCCTTTCCTTTATAGGGCAGTATCCAAAGGAACTAAGATTCCAGTACATCAGCATCACGCCCACTGCTGGATGTGAACAATACCTCCTTTCAGGCTACAGAAACCTGCTCATGGATGATTACTAATCTTGCCAAAACAAAGGTGAGAAGGTGTGGCTGATTGATCACTTTTATACTGTGGCCTGCTACAATCCTACTCCAGGACCCTTTCCTCCCACTGCATGCCAGTTTGTTCTTACAGCAGTAGTTACCTGATATCAAATTGTACCAAACACCCCAGAACATGATAGAAAAGAAAGTAATAACCAATACCCTATATCCGAGATCTCACCAAGGCAGTAACTGTGCTGCTCCTGGCAACAGAAGAAGCAGCTCCCCTGGCTCTAGGCAGCCAGAAACACCATCCAGTCACGCCAGCCCTGCTGGTCTTGGGAGAGCACTCAGGCCTTCAACCTGATGTTCTGGCCCAAGCAACAACCATGTGCAGCTAACTGCATTATTGTGAAAATCTAAGTTTTCTATGGAAAAGAAAACCAGTGATCTTTTAGGATCCAGGATGGCTAGCTTCAGTTACGTTCACTTCCACGACTAAAACATACAGTAAAGAGCACTCAGCAGGGCCTGGCACATAGTAGGTGCTCAATAAATGTTTATCAATTGACAATACTTGAGGTACCAGGATGATCAGAGACTGAGTGTTAACCAGAAAATCTCCCTATTTCTAACACCCAAGCAATACATTTACCTAGTTTCTAGGTAGGTCAGACCGGAAAGGGCTTTGAATGCCAGATCCAAATGTCACCATGCCCCAACCAATGCCCTTCTCAACAGAATGTAAGCTCCTTAAGGGAATCGTCTTCGCGTTCCAGCTCCTCCCTCCTCCTACCTAGGATGTGGCCTGGTACACAGAAGGCACTTAACAAAGGCTATTTGAATTGAAAAGCAGCGTTACTACATTATAACCAAACCCCACTATAAAGTCACAAAACTGTGTAACAAAACAAAAACCCACTATAGCACCATCTGACTGATGGCCAACGTATAACATTGTTCCACGAAAACTAATGGTCCACATAACATTGTATATCCTAATAGCATGTGTTCACAGAACCAATTAATGATGTTAGGCCTGTACCTTCCATCTGCAGGATATTTTATAATTTTCAAAGTACTTTCCCATAAAGAGTATCCCAAAAGTCTTAAGGCAGTTTTTAGCTTTTGCTCTTTATGTCATACATAATGTACATAATGTCAACTGATTTGCACAACCCTGAGACAGGTAGGAAAGATGATCACCCTCGTCTTACAGGAGAAAAACTGAGGCTCAGACATATCAAATGACTTGAGGCCAGACGACCAACGAATGTTAAAAAAGGATGTTGAACCAGATGATCTCCATGGTCCCACTGTAGCTCCAAATCATGATCCAAGGTGAGTTCAGTGGTTACTGCAAAAACCTGGTTGGAGGTAAGGAGGGCCTGGTGGAGAGCGGGGGTTGGCAGAGCCATTCTGGAGGAGGAATTCACAGGGCTGAGCTGTTTTGGTGACTGCAGACTGTTCTGTATTTCATCTGTCCCTCCTCCCATTTCCCCCAGGGGCTGCTAACCATGTTACTCTACCAAAGTAAGCATGTTACCCAACCAGTCACACGCAAGTTCTGGTACTTCAATACACAAACAGGTCTGCAGGTTCTACAGAAGGTTTTACTAGGGTGCAGAAAGCACAATGCCAAGCCTCAATGAAAACAGGACTCTAGCCCCTGACACAAACATGTCTGCACAGTCCGTTCACGAGCTCGGGTCCCCAGCTTGAGCAAGAAGACTGCATGTGGAACCAAAGGAATTCCTGAGGTGGAAACACCCCATTTCAGACTTTTGACTCCAGTAGAGAGGAGTGCTGGGGGTAAGGGGGGATAGAGGGGAGGTTCTGTTTAACCAGAAGGAACAGCTAAACTGCATTTTGACAGGGGATGAGAAAAATTCTCCATTCATAGGGCAAAACCTTTCACACTTTTCAAAACCAAGTTGTCCCCATGGATCACACAGCTTTGTCCTGTATCTTCTCAGGGACATTGCTCATAAAGAGATTATATGTAACCTACTACTCTTTTTCATCCCAAACCCCTTCAAAGGGCAAGAACTCTATTCTCCTGTGGAAAATGGTAAAAGGAAGACCATGGGCTATGCCACTTCACAGGTCAAGCAAGACACTGAGACCCAGCTGAGCGACTGGCTGGTCTACCTGTATCCCTGGCACTGTGATTTGCATGTAGAAAACACTTAATAAATTCCCTTCTTCCTTTCCTTGCTTCCTTCCTCCTTCCCTCCCTCCCTTCTTTCTTTCTTCCCTTCCATAATCACAGAGCTAATCAACGTTGAAGCCAGAGTATGAAAGTCCAGACACTTCTGATTATAAATCCAGTGTCCCCTCTCCTATGCGGCACTGCCACCAAGACTGAAGGCCAATGAGGAGTTAATGTTACGTTTCTTTCCGCTCCTTTACATCTTCCACACTTCCTGAGACAGGATGCAGAGGAGCAAAGAGGAGGGTCCACAGGAATATCTGAAAATGGTCTGAGGGAAGCAGTTGACTTTAAAGCAAATTATTCAAGTGAAATGTTCTTCTGTGAACTTATTTTTTTTTCCTGAGAAGAAGCAATACTTGTCAGATGGGTGGGAGAAAGATGAAGAAAAGAACAGCCACCTATTCTAAAAACCATCTCCAGCATACATCTTTCTAGTAGGAAAAATACTACAGCAGCCATACAAAATAGAATTAAAGCTATTCTCTCTACTGACTTACAGAGGGGAAAAAAAGTTCTAGTCTAAATACGAAGCATTCTATTAAGTTTCCTACTGGCAGGGGAGAAAATCAAGCTGTCACCTTCCAGAAGAAAATACTCCCCAACCAGGGAAAAGAAAGATGAACCTCTCCCCAAAGTCATTAAAAAGGTAGGTCTTTGAGAAAAGCTGAGTTGCCAGAGCCTTTAATCATTCTCTAGTTCAGCCTCCCCTTTGGAGAGAAGAGGGAATTGTGGAAAGAGGAAGTGACTTGTCTAAGGTCACAGTGCCATCAAATGGTGGTGCCTCATCCTTTCTCTAGTGTTGCCTGAGAGCCAGGCCATCTCCTGGATCAATTCAAGACGCTGTGTGTTTGGCAGGGACTCACAAAGGGTCCTCATTCTTCAGTAGCACAAGGCCTTCCCATTTGGATTCATTTGGGCCTCTAACTTGGAGAAAATGATAGTTCGATAGTTCAGGTACTAAAAGACCTAGTGTTGACACCATACCTCCTGGTGTCTCTATAAAGTGGAGAAAAGGAAAGAATTCTAGACTCCTAGAATCAGAAGGAAGTGTCAAAGAACACCCAGGGCCTCCCCCTGTTTCTAGTCATATTTGCACTGGAACATCTCAAATTGACCTTCCTATTTAAAAAGTATCGGGAAGAAGCAGTTCTATCAGGAGTCCTGGACAGAGCCTTTACTCTATACAGAGATTAAATTCCAAACTCGAGTTTCTTCTGTTATAATTAAATCCTTTTTGGTTCTATCCTCAGTAAAGAGAAGGAACAGACTCAGAGAAGGGCTTATTTTAATAAAACCAAAAATGATTAAGTTGCCTCCAGACTTCTCTGTTCCAGGAGAAGGAATTTTCTTTCCTATAGCTACTTCTTCAGGTATCCCTTCCCAACATTTGGAACCATTTGTCCTTTCCTCTGAATTCTCTTCCAAGTTCTCTAAACTTTTCTAATTGGGCCATCCAGGGAATGAACAAAGTATTTTAAGACGACTGACCAACATGAATGTCAGGCTAATATAGCGTATGAGGGTTGGTTAGTTTTGTTTTTACTTTAAAAGAAAAGCAAAGGGGCAGCTAGGTGACTCAGTGGATAGAGCATCAGCCCTGAAGTCAGGAGTACCTGAGTTCAAATCCGGCCTCAGACCAAACACTTGACACGTACTAGCTGTGTGACCCTGGGCTAGTCACTTAACCCAATTGCCTAAAATTAAAAACAACAACAACAACAACAAACAGCAACAACAAACAAAAGAAAAGCAAAACAGGAGTCTTATACGTTGTTACCATCTCTGGAGTGGGTGGAACCTTCAGATGCTCTTACCCTCCGCTACTGTTTAACTAATCATTCCACTGTTTGTAACTAAGTAGTTTCTCCTCCTTCGATATACTGTACTTTTATCCTTATAAAAATGCAGCCTGATGTCCCACTCAGCCAGTTCTTTTACACCTGCAGACGAGAAGACTTCATAAATGTCCTGGAGCCAACATTACCCGCAAGGTGCCAGCAGACAACATTAGCAAAAGGAGCTAATGCTGACAGCTAGGAGAGGGTAGCCAGGGAAGGAGAGGGAGGGGTGATTCACCTATGCCATACTGGCACCTCACTGGGGAAGGATTAGTGAGACCTTGATCCTGGGCACTGCATTAGAGGTGCTTTTATGAGGCTTGGGGAACAAAATCTGCTTCTCATGTTCTAGTCAGCAGCTCTACCTTCGCTTCTGTACCTTCCCCCAGTCCAAAGAATTTACCCCACCCTGTAATTTAAAGGCTTTTTGCAAATAGCACCAAGGTACTATAGTACTAAGAACACCCCAGATGGGGCACCACCTGCCAGGGACAATGTGAATGCAGGAACCCTGATCCTTGAGCCAAGACACACGCTTCCTGAAGCTTGGGCAATTTCTCAAGGCATGGGACAGGGTGGGAATCAGAGATCACAGAGCTGAACTGGAATGATTTCTGTTACAACCCAAGTGCCTACAAAGAGGGAGGTTCCTGGTGGCTCGAGATCCTTGGCCCTGGCTAAGCCCAGGCTAAAACCCTTCTAGCCAAAGAAATACTGTTCTCACACTGCCTTTCATCTTTCTGAGTCCCTGGGACCAGGAGAGCCAAGGGGCCAGGAGGAACTCCAGAAGTCCCAGGCTGCCTCCCCCCACTCCCCACTCTCTGCCTCTAGGCTAGGGAAGAGAAAGGAGAAATAAAAGCATCTGTCAGAATCTGTCTATAGGGTGCTAGGATGGGCATTCTACAAATTAAACAGCAGCTGCCCTCGCCCTGATAAACCCACACTGTATGACACAAAGGGCTAAAAGGGTGAAAAGCTGCCACTACCAGATATAACTAACTTTAAACCGCAGGTCAGGTCTGGTTTTTGGTAGCCTCCTCCAAAGGCAGCGTTCCTATTCTGGCTTCTAAGGCTCACCTATCGCTGTTGCCAGAAGAACTGCATTCTGAAGAGATGCACAAAAGGCCCTGCCAGGTTTTACACCCTCTTAGAATTAAATTCACTATTTTAAAAGACACATCTCTATTCCAGATTTCTAGCGTAATTAAAGAGTGAAATGAGACCAACATGTCATTACAGGTTAAACTGGTTTTTTTTCCTACAGAAATTCCCGACTCCAAGAAAGCATCCAGGACGAGTTAGTAAACAGGATGATAGTTTGTAAATAGCTCTGATTATTTTTTCATCAGAACCTAAAAAAACAGTAATAGTGGTCACAGATATTACATTAGTCACTGATGAAACGTGGACGGTTTAAACCAGGAGTTCTTAACCTCTCTGTGTATGCGTCCTAGACCCCTGGTAATTAGGACTATGGATCCCTTCATAAGAAGGGAAAAGGACCAACATGTACACAAATATTTACAGCAGCCCTTTTTGTGGTGGCCAAGAATTGGACATGGAGGGGATGCCCATCCATTGGGGAATGGCTGAGCAAGCTGTGGTGTATGATTGTGATGGAATACTACTGAGCTATAAGAAATGATGAACGGGTGGATTTCAGAAGAACCCGGACAGATTTACATGAATCGATGGCCAGTGAAGTGAGCAGAATCAGGAAAACACCGTACACAGTATCAGCAACATTGTATGATGACCAACTTTGATAGACTTAGCTCTTCTCAACAATACGATGAACTGAAACAATTCCAAAAGACTCATGATGGGAAATGCTATCCACAGAGAAAGAACTAGGGAGTCTGAATGCACATCGAAGCAGACTATTTTCTCTCTCATTTTTTCCTTTCTCATTGTTTTTCCCTTTTGTTCTAATTCTTCTTTCACAACATGACTAACACAGATATATGTTTAATATGACTGCACATGTATAACCTATATCAGGCTGCACACTGTCCTGGAAAGAAGGAAGGAGAAAAAAAAAATTGGAAATCAAAATTGTATAAAAGTGAATGTTGAGGGGCAGATAGGTGGTGTAGTGGATAGAGCACCAGCCCTGAAGTCAGGAGGACCTGAGTTCAAATCCAGCCTCAAACCAAACACTCGACACTCACTAACTGTGTGATCCTGGGCAAGTCACTTAACCCCAATTGCCTAAAAAAAAAAGTGAATGCTGAAAACTATCTTTACATGTAATTGGAAAAAATAAAATGCTGTTAAATGGAGGAGGAAAGACTATGGATCCCTTCTCAGAATGATTTTAAATGCTTAAAATAAAATAGATAGGATTACAAAGGAAACCAATTATACTGAAATATAATTATTTAAAAAAAAATTTTTTTTTACTAGATCATGGACTTGAAGTTAAGAACTTTTGGTTCGAACATATCTTTAAAATATACCCCCACCTTCTAGGAGAACCACATGCAAAGCTGAGAGGAGGTGGAAACATCTCCCTACTGGACCCAGAATGTGTTCAGTCATCACCAGGTCAGCAGTGAAAGCTGATTTTAGTGAAGCATTTGACAAAGTCTGTCAAGCTGCTCTTGTGGAAAAGATGTCAAGGTATCAGACACAGGTCACTTACAATTAGGAGGATTTGAAACTGGCTGGTCAGACCCAAGAAACGGAGCACATCATGACTTCACATCATTTTGGAAAGGAGGTTTCCACTCAGTGGCCCTAAGGATCTCTTCTGTTTAACATTTTTATCAATTATTAAAGGCAGAGATCAGAGACTTACAGCAGGAAGGGACTTTAAAGATCAACACAATCATTTTATGGATGATAGATTGTTTATTAACTTTGTTAAAGACAAAGCTAGAAGAGATAGTTGGCATAGATGACAAAGTTAGGATTCAAAATGGTCTACCAATTAGAAATAGAGAAAAAAAGTAGTCTTACACTTAGGTTCAAAAAATAAACTTCCCAAGTACATGATAGGGGAGCTATGGTTAGAGAACAGTTAGTTAATCTGAAAAAGTTCTGGGTATTTAGTGGATCACAAAGTCATCAGTGAGATATGGAAGCCAAGAAAACCGCAGCAAACTTGGGCTGCAATGAGGAAGACAGTGTCTAAGACTAGGGAGGTGACAGTTCTGCTCTCTGCCCTTGTCAGACGGCCTGTTTTCAATTTGGGGCACCACCGACAAAGGAGTGTGTGTGTTTGGAGGGGTAAGTGGGATGACAAAAGGACTCTAATTCATTCCACATGAGGATTTCCTGAAGGAACTCGAGGATCTTTAGCTTAGAGAAAGGGACATGATAGTTGTCTTCAAGGACCTGAATGCTTTCCTCGGGAATGCAGACCAGATTTTTTCAGCCTGGCCCCAGAGGACAGAAGAGCAATAAATGGAAGTTAAAAAAGAGGCTGAGTGAGGCTTGCTAAGCAAAAACTTGCTCACAACTAGAACTATCCCAAAGTAGACTGGGCTGCCCCCGTTGCTTAGAAAGTAGGTTCTTGTGCACTGGAGGTCTCCAAGCAAAACCAGGTTGGATGACCACTCATTCATTTTGAGGGGATTCTTGATTAGATACAAGATTGGCCTGGATGACTTTACTATTCCCTTCCACTTCAAATTCTGTTCTTCCTAGCAAGAAATACAAATCAACTCAAGGTAGAGAAGCACAATAGCCCAATCTGCAATTCTAAAACCAAATTTTAATAAATCAGTTAGATATTTCAGGAGGTCAGAGACCAGCACAGGAGGGAACTCAGCAGGAGGTATCTTCTAAAAATGCCTGGCTCAGAAAAGGAAGATTCTAAAGGAGAAAAATTAAATTGAAGTCTAAAGCTGTTAACAGGGCTAAACACAGCAAGGGTTTCAGAAGCCTTTTGGCTGAGACTTAGGGAAAGGGAACTGAAATATTGTTTTAACTGTGAGTTACTTAGAAAAAAGATCAAATGAAAGCAGAATAAAAGCCTAGCTAATTTTTTTTTTAAAGCACACAATTCAATCACCAAACCATAGTCTCTCAGCTTCTCGGCAGCAAGGTGCTGCCTAGGAAAGCTATTAAATGCAAATTTCTCTCATCCATGGTAATCAGGCTGTCAGGCTGGGCCCCCTACTTCTTTGTCAGCAATAAAAGAGATGGCAGATGTGCTGGGGGTTCCAGAGACACTGAATGAACAGAAAGCTTGGAGAATAATTCAGCGAAAAAGAAGTCTCCCTTCACCCGCCCCCCTCCACCTTTATAACACACCACTAGATCCCAACCCCGTATCACATCGTATGACTGGGAGATTCTTACACTTACACACACACACACACACACACACACACACACACACACACCCCCCATACTCCCAGTAACCTCACTCTCTTAGATTTCTCAAATGGGAGGAGGAAATTTTTTTCCACGGAGACAGGATTTTCTTTCTAATAGAAGCGAATCACCATAGTTAACATTACCAGCCTCTCTATCACTGAGAGCCCATGTAAGCCTCCAGAGTTATCCTGCTCTTCTTAGGTGCTTTGGGCCCCAACAGAGAACAGGCCAGGAAATACCCAACAACTACAATTGTTCTGGACCTAAAGAAGGTGAAGGCTATTTCTTAATTATCTGTCTCTTTTGGTCTCTAAAAAATAGTTCAGATTATCAATAGGCAAATGTGTAATTGCAGAGGAAAAACGTGATGTTCTGACTATAAATCAACTGGAGAACAGCCCCAAATATCAGTCATAGCTGGCCATCAGGGCACTTTTATAAATTAGTTTGAAGTAAACCTTTCTCCCTGAACCTTTCCCCTTGCCCTACATTGGAAAAATTTAGAAGTCATGACCTCCTCAATTTTCTCATGTACTTCCAGGGCAAATCAAGTTTACCTCTTTAATCCTTCCTACTAGGCTACAGATGGGTAAGGGTTCATGCATTCATGCTTTTGTCTATTTGGTTAGAAAGGACATGGAATTGTTTCCAAGCATAAAGTTGTCCAGGAGAAAACTAAAGGAAAGAGTGAGAGTTCTTTTCCTCAAGAGGCAAGCCCCACTGCTCCCCAGCCTCGGCACTACTGCCTCAGTGTCCCTAGCTTATCACAGGCAGCTCCCAGGGCAATAAGGAGCCCCACCTTCTATCAAGGCTGGCTAGCAGCCAACCCAGTGACCCAGACCTCTAGCCTTTTTCCCTTTGTGGGGAAGGATATTTGAGCGCTGCTGTTCAGTTAGCACCATAGAATCTTGAAAGATTATTAGAGTTAACCATATTTTATGAACCCAAAAATCAGGATACCTGGCAAAAATATCTTTCTTTTTCTTGGGATTAGTCTGAGCCTAAAAAATTGAGGACTAACTCTGCAAACCATGGGGCAAATAATGCAAAAATAAGTTTCAGAAGAAGGCAAAAGGCTTGAAACTGCAGTGCTATGCTGACCATGTAGAAAAAAAAAAAGGGCTGAATTCTCCTAAAGGGGGAAGAGCTCCAAGGACTGTAGAAGGTATATACTCCTAAGGGACCTCTTGCCCAGAAGAGAAGGAAGCAAATCTATCTTGGGCCAACTGCCACATTGTGAAATAGATTTACAATGTTTATAATCTCTAGGGAACTGGATCCCATCTTTCTGTGCACAGCAGAACATTATTTACAAGAATTCCTTTTCTCTCCGGGGGACAGCCCCACAGATCAACCAAATACCAACCTTTTATTTTAAAGAGTACTCATTTTGTGCTAGCCACACCAGATATGTCGCTACTAGCAGCAGCCAGATGCCCAGCACCCATCATTTTCAAGGTCTTGCTTACTTACCCAAGGGATAGCCAAACAGAAGCCCAACCTAGTCTAGGACTATACTGGCTCTAATCAAAGAATAGACAAGAAAAGAGGTGACACTGGTCAGCACAGAGGAGACTGCAACTATATTCAACTCCAAGCTAGGATAGGAGGGGGATACAAAGTATTTAGTGAATGAAAGGGGATGATCTCCAAGGTTCCTTCTAGCTCTAAATTCCTTGAAACCTATGAATGATGGATACAAAGTAGTATGTCGGCCCCTTTCCTTCAAGAATACTTAAAATTTAGCTGGGGAAAAAGGACTCCCACATATAAATCGAGCTAAAAAGGTACAGTGTTACAGGAATTCTGAGGAGGCAAGTGGATAATCAGGGGGAAGCTTTGCAGAGGATTTTGGATTTGAGTTGGGCCCTGAAGGCTGCATAGGAAGGAAGTATGTAGAGATGAAGATGTTCCAGGAAGAAACAGGGAAAGGGAAGGGAATAAGCATTTACATAGTGCCTACTACATGCCAGGCACTGTGCTAAGGGCTTTAAAATATCTCGTTCGAAAGACTGGCATTAGCAAGTATACAGGGGCAGAACATGCAAAAGGCTGCTAAGAGTGCTGCCAGTCTGGCTGAACACAATATTAGAACGTAGCAGTAGGAAATAAGGTTTGAAAAGTGGGTAGGGCAAGACTACGGAGGGCCAAGTTAAGAAGTAAGGACTTTATCCCATGGGCAGTGGTGTGCAACTGACAGGTTTGGAGGGGAAAAGTTACACAATAGTCCAGGCATAGAAAATATTTCCACAGGCAGAAAGGCCTAGTAGATAGCAGACTTTCCTAAGTCAAGTCTTCTATTCATTAAGAGAATTTTTGACTGTTAGTCTATAGGGAGATACTTGTTTTCACCACAGGACCTGGGCTCTACCCTTCCCCCAATCAGATCTGGGATCACCACAACCTGTGAAATGCTTCTACCAAACATCTTCAGGAACCAATATCCAACCCAAGGTTTATTAAAGCGCTTTCTGATGCTTAAAACCAGCAGCAGCAGGAACCTGAACCTGACCCCTCTCCCTGAAATCGGTATCTTCTGGGCAATCCTACCCCAAGTTCCACCAGAAATGAAGTGACTCCAGATGTGGTCCACTAGACAACAAAGTTCTATTTAATATCATAATGGAATAAGTAAGGGCATAGTTCTTCAAAAAGGGTTTCCACATTATAGGAGCCTTAAGACAAAGGGAATTCCAATTTAAACCTAGAAATGTTTGTAAAAATATGCACAGAAAAACAGCATAATAACTAAAAGAGCCCAAATCTCCCTGGGGTGGGCTCCAAGCCCTTCAAGCCCCTCCTCCTATGTACTCTTGTCCATGCCATCCCATAAGTCTTCCAGAGTAGGTGGGTAGACAGACCCTCTGCCTACCTAATATGCTTTAGATCTTCCTCTAGTGCTTTTCATAGTTTGCAGATAGATCCCACTTAATGGGACACTCATTTTATTCTTGCTATATGACTAGCCTACCACCTTTTCTGTTTTGCTTCTTTTTCATGGCCCTGTGTTTCATTTGTGGAAGTATTTTTTTTTAAAAGCTTCCTTTTTAATTCCTCTTGAAATATTTAGAAATATTTTTCTCTAAAGCCCTTTCTAGATTCCTGGGGAAAAACCCCTTGGAAAGGCAGGTGATTGGTTGAGAACAAAAAGGCCTTTCCTGAGGTGAATGGAATAAAAGGCAATTCCCACTCTACTCCTAGAAGAGTTTAGCTACGGGTCTGCCACATGGAAAATGCCTTTTGCACTCCAGTGGAGGCATTCTCACACTCCTCTATTCAATTTAGATTCTAGATACAGATCTCTGGGAGGGACTCCATTGATTTCTTGAAGGGAGTAGTCTAAGAAGAAAGGAT